AAAAAAAACATGCAAAATAAAAAACTAATTTGAATAAAACGAACTTGATGAATTCTACTACATAGAGCATGCAAGATAGAGAACTATTTTAACTATGGGGTCATCTTTGTCTTCTCCAACGTCGATCTGAAACAGATACGGTGGTAATAGATTAATAAAGAGCAATTAAAATTAATTGTATCAAGTATTCTCACCTTAATTAATAATAGACTGTAACAATCCAAAGTTTGCAGGTGTGAAAAGCAAACCAAATCCAGTAGAAATGCCAAAGAAGAAAACTTGCTCCTTTAGTGGAATTCCAGTAAATCTCCTCTTGTTCTCACTTATCTGTTGAAAATTAACTGCATAATGTTGCAAGGTGAAGATGAAAACAGCAAATCCAGAATAGAGTCCAAGAAAGACAACACCAGTTATTAGTTTTGCTTCAATAGGATCAATCTGAACTTCAATTTCCTCTCATCTGTTGGACGATCTGTAGAAATAGACAAAAAAAAATATTAATTAAAGAAGGGATTAAGTTAAGTAAAACATGAAATACAATAAAAACATGCACCAAAAGGCAAGTAAATAACTACATTATAAAATGGCGACATGGGCGTCAATTACATTTATGACAGATAAATGCCAAAAGCAATAGAGATAACCATAGATGGACGATGTCAATTTATGCTGTAAACAATAGATAATTGATAGAAGAGAAACCATAGATGCCACAGAAATAATTAAACAGTAAAACAACCGCTTACCTCAAATATACTCTATGGTGCTCTAGTTTTATTCCTAAGCGTTGTTCAACAATAGACGCTTGTGAAAGGAAAATAATGCCACTGATGGTGAAATGAACCACACAGTAGAAGACATCACATGTGTAATTTTATATGCATCGGTGTCAATTGGACTGCACGTATTTCTAAAAACTGCACCTTTCAGGTCCCAAGGGGCTCCACTCCTCCAGGTTTCCAATCGTTTTTATTTTTTCACCTTGTTCGTTTCATGTGTTAAAATCATAACCTGTTGAAACAATTTAATGTTAGTTTCATCTTAAATATTAAATTTTCAAGTATTTTAACTTACAATTCAAAAGAGTAAAAAATTATAACAGTAATTATCATCAAACCATTCTCCATAAAATAATTAAAGATTCCTTACCCTTTCTACTAACGGTCCATTTCCAAAACCAATCCAAAGAAGCATGAATGGGATTCTACTTCTTCCCCTTGCTGATTTACCCTCTCAATGTCAATTTATTACGTTTTACTGGAAACCTGTTGAAACAACTTAGTCTTATTTTTTTGTTAATTAAGTTTTGTTACTTTATTATTAATGATAATTACCACCATTAACATCTTGTTCTGTGTATTTTTCGACTAGCATTCTTGGAAATAAAAGTATATTTGACTGCCAGGATCATCACATCTGTAAATAGTTTTCCCATCTAATCCAAGGATGTCATCTCAAAGCAAGCCTATATTGTAGAAAAAAAAAAAATAAGTCGTTAAAATCCAATGTATATAATAGCAAACTAAATATGATTTTTTTTAACAGAAATTTAGAATTTTACAGGCGGGATAATATTTTTAAAGGACATTTTACGTATTTTGATTATAAAACGAAAGAAATTCTTGGCGACGTGGTCACATCACTAAGAAAAATCTACGATCATCGCATAAACCTGTTTTCAAAATTTAAAAATTTTAACAAATCCCTAATTATTCGACCCCAAATAATCAATAAAACTATAAAAATTCACAGTAAAACAGTGAACAAGCAAGATGCTAAGATGGACCTCACATGTTAGAGCACGAAACCGACACGCCACCGGCCATTCACGCCGAAGAAAATCTAAGTAATGGTAATCGAAACACATCAATCATTGAATAGAAACATATTCTGCATAGTCAAATTGAAATAGAATAAGGATTAGGGCTAAATACCTTCAGGCGTCGTTCCCGTTTACGAACAGCAAAAATGCTTGAACTGACCGAAGGCAACACTCGACATAAAATGATATGAATCATAGATAATAGATACACAAAGGGTATGATATGAATCGAGTCGGAAGGCCATAGATGAAAATCCCTTCTATACCTATGATCCATAGATTTTATAGGTGCATTCGATCGTACTAACTCAGTTTAATTCGTAAATAAAATTATATCAATTTCTAAGAATCGATGCACTATTTCCAAGCAAATTAATTAAAAAAATATCTATGTGAATTCTTGCTTAAGATACGAATGGTTGTTTTCATGGTGTATTTAAATCACGATTTAAACACATAATAATCAAATNACAACATTCATTTACACCAACAGTGTTTAGTGTTATAAAATCATAATTATTTTCTCAGACTGTTTATGTATTAAATGAATTTAAATAGATTATTAAAACCTAAAAATTTAGTTGCTTACAAATTTCGACTCACATTGTAACATTTCTATCTTTATGTAGACTACAGCGCACTCATTTAATTTCGTGGGAAGGTACGATAATAGCTTGAATTTAAAATACACAATTTTAATAAATTGTTGGTCTTTCTTATAGGCAACCCACTTTACTTCATAGGATTCTTATTATCGGCGCAGCAGAAAATATTCGTCCGTTTTGTGAAAGACGAGTTAAAATATTCACTAGCAAGTTTTAGTCATGACTACTTATTACATATTACAATAAGGGAGAAGTTTATCTAACAAGAATCAAAAACGACGTTTTTAAATTGGGAATTGAAAGTACCCCTTTGCTATTCATGCATTCATTATACTGACGCCCCACATCTTTTATTTATTTTGTTACTTTCAACTCGTTTATTTAATAAAGGAGAAATTAATTTATCAAAAAATAGAAACGGCGTATTTAAATTTAGAGTTCAAAGTGCATCCCTTTGATTTCCAACTATAAAATTCATTTCATTGATACATCACAAAGACTTTTATACATATTAGGACTTTTAGCTGGTTTAGTAAGGAAGAAATTCGTTTGTAATTTAAAGAAAATTAAAAAAAAAAGAAATAATCCTACCTTTCCAATGTACCTACTGTCCATGTTTGTAAAGAGCAATTCTGGAATAACAACTTTGTAGTGCCCACATGTTTAGTGAAGGATCTAAAACCCCTACACAAAACTCCGGAAGTGAATAGTTCAAAACTTCTGAAAAAACAATTTTATTTTACAATTACTAAGAAAAAGCTCAATAAAAGTAAGATTCTACCTTTCTTTGTAAGTCAAAGGGCAGTCCAAAATATTCTTATAGCAGTGGAATTCTCCTTAATTTGCAAATGCTGAAACAAAAAGAAATATTGTTTACCTGTTTAAAATAAATGAGAACAATAATGTAATTAACGACGACATGAATAAAAACGACGCCTTCAAATTTTAAATTGGTGGTTGAATGTGCATCCCCGTAATTTCCAACACTAAAATTCTTTTCATTGTTGACAACAACTTTAATATGTTTTGGTACTTTAATCTCGTTTGGTAACGGAAAAATTAATTTAACATGAAGCAAAAAGGACATTTTTAAATTGGGATTTCTTCAATGAATTACGATAAAACAGCCCGCAAAGCAATATCGAACAAGATATTGTCGTGTGATAATAAATGCATATAATACAAAATTCTTAGAAAACGATTCGAAAAACTTCACTTATTAGATGAACCCAAAGCTAATGAAACTATGGATTCCATTTCTTTCTCTTATTACAATGTGTAAAAGATCAGAAACAAAATAGGGTTGTAAACATTTTGATATAAAATGATTGATCTTAATTTTACACCAATAAAATTATTTGCAACCCTATTTTGGCTCTGATCTTTCACACTAAAAGAACTATTTCGGCATCAGTGTCTTTTTTCCAATTAAAACTGGTGACAAAGGCAAATCATCGACGACCATAAAAAACGAATTTTTCTATCCCTCGGATAAAAGGTACCCCATGTTGTTTTCTATACCCTTGACAATATGTCTACAAAATTTGATCTTGATCGATTGAGTAATTAAGTTAAGTTAAGTTAATAAACAAACAATCTCACATTCACATTTACAATAGTTAGGATTTTTGAAAGAGGACCTTATATCCACGAATATGTTCTTCGTGGGCAAAATCGACCTGTTTCAGGATTTCCGAAAAAAATTGAAGTTGAAAATTTCAAGGTGGAAAGGTTTAATTGCGCCACCCTCTACATATTTAAGTACAATTTCCTTTGTATTTCGACTGACAGATTTCAAGGGTTGTTTCTAATAACCCCTTACATTCAATTTTAAAATATAACTTTAATGATACCATTCTCTTTACAAACGAATTGAAAGCCATTGTCTTAAAAAAATAAATAACCACACGAATATAATATTTCCTAAAGTATTAAGCAAATTCTAAATTAAATAATGCATGTAAATGATTGAATTTTCTTCTTAATTTTTTTTTGTATTCTGGCGCTTTATACAGTATATTATAATAAAATATTAGAGATCGAAACATTTTAATGGTAGTAATAAAATTAACAGAAGAGTAACGGAATCGTAAAAAAGATCAACACGGGTTTCCTCTTTGCAGAACTATTGTGTGGATAGATAAATACAATACGTTGCTACATTTTAGATTTTAGCACATACGCTGGCTTTTAAGTATTAGACACTTAATATTCTGCAAGAGCAACGCTGAATCAACTCTTTTCTTTGAGGGAATCGTATTAGGTTTACTTATTTACGAAAATTTCAGCAGTAACTGTTTATTACTAACACCGTGAACATTTACCACTCCGCATGAGGGGTAGTTCCAGTTTATATTACTGTAGTGCAAAAATAGAGAGGACAATTTTGAGTTCCTAAAAACAGTTTGTTTATTTGTTGTCTGATTTAATATATGTTACAGATTCATTCAAATTACCNGATATAACAGAATTTGCGTACTATACCGCATGTACCAAGGATTATTGATTTTTATTATTTATTTTCAATTAATTTACTTGTAATGTTGTATTAATTCTTAGACATTGATATGATTATTTGAAATATGCTGTTAGTGTTGTAGTTTTCGTGGGATAGATTTTCTTTTTAATGCGTATCGCTTTCTATTTACGAATATAAGTATAATTGAACGCACCTATAAAACGTATTATTTATGTATCATAGGTATAGAAGAATTTTTGTCTATGGATCATCCGGCGATTCTCATGTCATTTTGCTTTCGGTCTTCTAGAAGTCGGCAGGTTACGGTGTTTGTTCTCCATGAAAGGAAACGACGCTTAAAGGTAATAATTAGTTCTAATCCTAATCCTTTTATTCGATTTTCATTTAGTGGTTGATGGATTTCGATTACCTTGATTACGATTTGTTGGAAATTTTTCGACGTGAACGACTTCTGTGCCGTGCTGGTTTGGTGCTTCAACATTAGAGTCCATCTTGGCATTTTGCTTGTCGACCACCACTACTGTGAATTTTTACATTCTTGGTTTATTTGAGGTGGAATAATTAAGGTTTTGTTAGAATTTTTCAATTTTGAAAACCGTTTTAGGCGATGATTGTAGATTTTTCATATTTATGTGACCACGTCGTGACGATTGCTTTCGTTTTATAGCCAAATATGTAAAATTTTTCTCAGAGATAATCGTTCTGCCTTTAAAATTCTAAGTTTCTGTTGGAAATATTTTTATTTTTGCTTTGTTATTTTATAGATTGGGTTTTAACGAATGTTTTCTTTTTATAATACAGACTTGCTGAGAGATAACATCCTTGGATTAGATGGACGAGTTACTTATAGGTCTAATATTTGTGGCAGTCAGACTTATTTTTATCTCCAAGGATGGTAACGAGCTGATCGAAAAATTCATCATTCAAAGGGGTCGAAACGTGCGGAAGCAGAGCCCGACTCACGCTTATCTCTTGTGCTTGAAGAGAGGCCATTTGTAAAAAGGGTAAGTAATGTTTAATTATTTTATAGTTACATTTACAAAATAATTTTTGATTTCCTAAATCTTGTATTCCATTTGTTTGACAATAATTATTACTGTAATTTTTAATTCTTCTGAATTGTAGTAGTTAATTACTTAATTTGATGGTATCTTATTTGATTGATGGAAGTATGGTTCTTAATATTTTAAAACATAATACTTGAGATGATAATAACATTAAATTGTTTCAACAGGTTTTAATAAGGTAAAAAAATTAGAACGACTGGAGACCTGGAGGAGTGGAGTCCCATTAATGCTCCCTTCCCTTGGACATAAAAGGTGCAATTTTTAGAAATACGTGCAGTCCAATTGACACCGATGTATATAAAGTTACACATGTGATGTCTTCTACTATGTGGCTCATTTCATCATCAGTGGTATTATTATCCCTTTCTCAAGCATCTATTGTTGGAGAAACTTCCCTGTTATCAACGCTTATGAATAAAACTAATACCATAGAATATACTTGAGGTAAGCGGTTGTTTTACTGTTTAATTATTTCTCTGGCATCTATGGTTTCGCTTCTATCAATTATCTATTGTTTACAGCATAAATTGACATCGTCCATCTATGGTTATCTCTATTGCTTTTGGCATTTATCTGTCATAAATATAATTGACGCCCATGTCGCCATTTTATAATGTAGTTATTTACTTGCCTTTTGGTGCATGTTTTTATTGTATTTCATGTTTTACTTAACTTAATCCCTTCTTTAATTAATATTTTTTTTTGTCTATTTCTACAGATCGTCCAACAGATGAGAGGAAATTGAAGTTCAGATTGATCCTATTGAAACATTAAATTACCTAACCGTACAAAAACATTTATTACTAACTATCGTAAAATCAACTTTTTTGATCCTAAAACTGTAATTTTGAATAGTAAAAAGTGCAACTGTTATCACATGCGTAACTCTGTTGTATTAAAGCGCAATTATTTACATATTTTCAAATAATTTGGGAAACCTAACATTAACCCAGCGAAAATAAGTATTAAAAATTGTGTTTGAATTTAATGGTCGAAATATTTTAGTGAATCCGTGTCTGTTGTACGGATTTTTTTATCGTTTATTATCGTTCAGACGAACTTGGTACTATTACACAAATATGTTGAAAATTGACTGTATTTTAACCGAGAGATAAGAGTGTTAAAATACTAACAGGGGGGTTGTGGGGTAAAGGGACAGCTACGATGGGAACTACTTTTACTTATACTTATGTAAATACATTCTAAATTGTTTGACTTTGTATTGTTTTCTCTTGCGGTTTTTGCATGGCAGCTTGACTCATCAATAATAATATTGTTTGGTGAATGGTCAACGACAATAATATATGTACATACATGCTGATATATTACCACAAATAATAAAATTAAAATACATGAAGGAGTAGATAGATAATTGGACAACTGAACGTTTTCATTAAAAACTGCGAAATATAAATAAGAAATTGCCTATTGATTGTACTTAATTAATATATCAGTCTAATTTCTTTCATAAGAATTATTGTGAAGTTATTTTTTGAGGTTTTCATATCAAAAGTGATAAAAATAAATAAAAAAAAATACGGCGTGTAATTATACAACACGCTAATGAAGTGAAACTTCTTCAAATACGCAAACATACCGCGATAGGGGTTAAGGAATTGGTTTAATGGTATTATTTGTA